ATATGTCATGTCGGAAAGCATAGGGGTTGCTTAATTGCAACTGTAGACACATATGATCGACGGCATTGAAGTCAATCCAGCGACTTTGCTAGTTCCGTCAGTTAGGCACCGAAATGCTGCTGAGATGCTCGGTATCTAGTCGGTTGATTCCATGACTAATCGCACCTTATCTTCTTCGAGTTTACGTTTTGCCTTCTGTTTTGAGAAAATCGTGCCTTAATTGGTAAATACGGTCGTCTGAAACGCGGACGGAATTCGCGCGTAACGTCACGAATATAAAGTTTAATGTGCGCAGTAATTATTTTATAAATATTAATTATTTCAAACACTAATCTGCATTTATTTTTTTATTTTACAGATCAACTTTCTGCGCGTAATCGGTGCTACAAAATATATTCGTTCCGTCATATAGTATAACAAAATGCGCGTCGGGAGTGCCGTTAATGCCGAGAGTTATAGCGAATCTATAGATGAACGCATTTTTGCTGTATAACAAATATTGGGACACGATTTTTTTTGACTTTAGGCTTGGCTCGGGGGAGGGAAAGGTCGGTTTCAATCATAAAATCTCGACTACGGCAGGGCAATCTTCGGTTCTACGTGCAGCGTGCTAGTTGTACAGATAGCCGGACTGTCGAAGGTAGTCGAGGACGGCTACCGGAGTTAGTCAAACGCTACCGATTGCTTTTCAGATGTCTTGTATCTAGTCGGTTGATTGGATGACTAATCGCACCTCATCTTCTTCGAGCTTACCTTTGCCCTCTGTTTTGAGAGAATCGTGCCCCAATTGGTAAATGTGGTCGTCTGAAACGCGGACGGAATTCGCGCGTAACGTCGCAGCTTGGACAATTTGGTTCGATTCGCCTGTGATGTCGGGAGTGTCGTTTGAAGTGCCGCGCGATTTTTATATTCAGGTACGCGCGCGAGCAATGCGCACGTCGCGACGCGTGTGAGTGCTTGGAACAGCCACTGAGAGGAGGACGAGGCCTGGGAGGCATCGGGCGACGGCGATGCAGCGTTGTGGTAAGTAATTTACCGTTAAAAATCTTTTTAATGATGGTGGAGGGACTAGTTTAATACGAGTATAGATACCGAGTTGTTTTCATAGATAACTAGATACTCATTCGCAGTCGTCATATAAAAATATTCATATTACTTATTATTAGCAAGAGATTTAAAGAGCAATAAACCCAACTCGCGTAAATCGTTATTTTTTGTGTTTTAAATTTCATTAATTTAGATGTAAATATTTTACATTCGAATTTTTAAATAGTCAAATTTAAAATTAAAAAAAAAACGATTTATTACGCACATACATATTCTATTTATGAAATTAGATAAGAACTTGTAAATGAAAAATTTTATTCCGTATCGCGAAGGATATATCTTGTCACGAAAAATAATGATTGATCGAGGTAGAAAGTGTAATCATGTAAATTCGCGCGCAATTTATTTTCTTTTGTTTACTAGACGACACGGTTATATAATCGGGATTCTATTACGTTCGACGCTTTTAACGAAATGTGAAACACAGTTATATCACAGCACTACAGAATTTCGCGATATCTCGGATTTTGGGAGATTTGTCACGAATGTAAGTTTTAGCATCCTCACGGGATGCAACCTGGACAGGCACAGAAACTCCACTCGCGAAACATGTAGCGCACGTTCGTCTGCGGAGAAAGAATTCTTTATGGACGTCTCGTAGACGCCCGTATATTATCGCATAATCGTAAAGGCTTAAGCGTAATACCGTCGGCTCTTTTCTTCTCAAGAAACCTGGATGAAACTGTGCTACACCTCTCTTTTTCGCTTGTTTCTCCATCGTACTTTCTCTTTGCTCCTTGTTCGCACTATTCTCCGACTCTTCGCGGAAGGATTTCACGAACAGTTCGGTCGCACGTAAAAGATGAAACGCCAACGCGAGAGGTAGACAGCGGGATGGTCTCAAGGCAGGAAGTTGCTTGTGAATTTTTCAAAGCGCGATGAATTACCTCTGATAGCAAGTCCGGACGCAGAAGACAACGAGAGATTCTTGGAACGGATGGGTGGATGATTCGCGCGAATCATAATAATTCGACGATCTGCTGCGTCTGCGAGCATTATGTATTTATCCGACGAGACGAGTCGGAACGAATGACAAAAAACGGTTTAAATTCTTTAAGATAATTTAAGATAATTACTTTACACGGGACTTGAACGGGAAATTTAATGAAGATTTGCATATTAAAAGCAAATCGGAAAAATTGCAAGAATTTTTTAAATCGTGATTTCTAAGATAGTTTAGTCGCTTTCGATACTTTTTGTGTCTTTTTTAAACACGGCTCGGAAATGCATAAAACAAATTATTTGTGCGATTTTAAATTTTGGTTAAATTTTACAATGACAGTTGTGAGATTTAGGATAGTATAAGTTTCACAGTAAATATTTCGTTGAAAAAATTATTACAATTGAACATGTCTTTCTTTACGATCGGCTATCTAAACTGTGTTATAAAAAATACTGCCAAAAATAGTATGCTTTTGCAATTCTAATGGGGTCATCGACATTCCTTACTACAAGGGATTAATTTAGAGAGTCGATTTGCATCTCAGACGCCGACATCTTTTGTAAGCTTTATGAATGCATCAGCATATTAGCTATCCACAACGATAATTCTGCATCAGAATGCTTTACAAACAGAGGAAAATGAGACATAATTTGACATAACAGCACAATTGCAATTCCTTTGTTCATACGGCAAAAAATAGTTACACAAGGTGCTTCATCTTAAATGCGAAATTGCATATTTTACAACGCATGTATCAAAATGAAGAGAAAAAATTAATATTGCATGAGAAAAGTATGGAAATCTGTTCACAAAATATTACATTAAATTAACTTTATTATGATATATTTTACCGATATATTTTTTATAATATATTTTTCGCCTTTAAAATTTTTGAAGAGATGCACTTTCAAAATTTGAGATCAAGCAATGTATATTTAGAGAAGACTCAGTTACAAGATAAGCTGGCCTCGGTAGTGATATTGCACTATTCGTGACAGGAAAATTCAGAATTTCATCATTATGCGCTTCACGTTTTTATTTTCCCCTACATTTATAAAGACTCTTGGATAGTTTTTTTCTTTTTACGAAATTTTTGCAAACAAAAGTTTGCGAGACGCTCTCAGCAGGACTCTACTATTCTATGTTGTGAATATAAACGTACATGCTCGCTTTGCATCACGCGTGATATTACGTACGATTCACAAGAAAGGATTCTAGAATTTTGTCATTGTATCCCGGTTAAAATGTTTCTGTGAAAATAATATCGTGATCGGAAATAAGTTAATTTTCAATACAATTAAATTTTTTCACGCGTTGCTTTTTGCAGTTAGTTATTTATATAACATAACACGATTTAATACGGATTTAATTAAATTAATAGCGTTTACATAATTTCTCAACATAAATCTAAGCGTCGAATATACATATGTATATTGGCATATATTTTCAACAAGAGCACATCTTTTCCAACAGAATAATTAATATTTTGTTGCTGATATATTTCCAACTCACCTGATAGTCCATGTAATTCCCGTAGCCCATGTGGTTGCATGTACAGGCGCAAGCCTGAATGTGCCTCCGCATATCGAGTTCGACCTCCTCGCCGCACACACCTCTGCTCGTCGCCATCATCGTGTCCCCCATGCAATAGCCGCCGGTGCAATACATCCTCGGGTCACTCTGATCCAGGTAACCCCCACCGGTGTCGTCATATCCGAGCCCGCTGGCGCACCTGGAATCCGAGGCGTATCCCACCCGGGACTGAGGACGTTCCTCATAGCCCAGTCTAGACTGAGGCCGATGGAATGTCGAGGATACGTCCTGAAAGAGAAAACGGATTACTTGCATCAAATCACTTTATATTTTGGTCTCTGTTGTTTGGCTGGGGTATTCGATAATCGATAGTGCAGTCGACAGAATCGTGATTTTTTCAAACATAGAATGAGTAAATTTCTAAAAATAACTTTTCCAAAAGCGTATCAGTTTTTTACATTAAACATGCGGTTTGGTAAATGTAGCATAAATCAATTGTATTTCAGAAATTTACTAGTATAAGCTATATTTGCCTAGTTAGCAGGAAGCATAAATATCTTGTTGTACTCCAATATAGATTTCTGTAAAATCTCAATTTTAAATTTAAAGAAACTTTTGGATGAATTTATTTTTAAATAACAAATTTTTTTGCACACATAATTTCGCGTTTAGAGAGTTACTTTTTAAATCATACAAATACATTTATTACATTTATAAACAATGAGAACACAATGGGATATATTTCTATGTTTGTTGATTGCAATATTGTTTCATTTATTCATCGGTTAATACAAGTGTTGTATACCTTTTACATTTAATAATAACTTTAATTGGATACATGTACAGAAAATATTGATTGAAAATAATTCGAAAATAATATTCTGCATAAAAGATTATTGAGAAAGATTCCTGAAAATGAAATTGGGCTGCAATAAACACCAACTGATACGATTTATTATCAATGTTATTTAAGATAGATATTAATAAAAAATAAGTAATTACATAGTTGTAATATTAACCATTTTTAAAAATAATTTAAATGGAATAATGAAAAGAATAAATAAAATAGATTATCTAATTGCAACATAAACTCTCTACGTTTTTGCTGTATTATGTATCTGTCGGAAGCAATTTGGCTGATTAATCTGCCTTTCTAAATTGATATCGTACGCCAACCAGACATGCCAAGAATCTCTCGGAATATGAAGAAATTTAATATTCTAGATGTACGGCAAATATTTACAGTTTAAAAAGAATCGTCTTAATACAGCACAAAGATGGAATGCGTTGCCGTGGGAATTGCAATTGCGTAAGAGAATGAATAACGTGCCACTCGCGTCTGCGGATGAAATCTTTTCACCATAATACAAAATTACCCACTTCAATTCAGTTACAGTTTCCTTATTTACGTAACAAGTCGGAAGACATGTACTGTTAACAATGCTATGGATTATATCGATTTGCAATATTGAGCTATTATATAACAAGAAACATTTTATGTAGAAATATAATATTTCTCGAAATAGATTTTCGCATATTGCCCAAATATTGAACGTGTCATAAATGTGTTACAAATATTTATTTTAAAAACAAATCATGTTATTATTCTATTTCGACAAACAGTTACACACGAAGACTTAAAAATTGTGAAAAAGTACGAAAAAGAATTTTGTATTTGTTGTGTTTATCTCTTGTTCATTCTCTTGTTGGTGCATTTGCAGTTGTTGCGATTGCGCGCGGAGTACTCGATGGCTTACGAGTTACCATATTCCGTGGTATGTATCGCATCATCGTTCGATATGGACAGCAGCGCAATGACCGCCACCGCGAATCGCACAGCGCTCTATCGCCGCTATCTTTATACCGCCCCGATACTGCTACCATAACAGTAAAGTATCGATATCGTTAAAATAACCGGAACGTATGTTCGGCCTTTCAAGCCGAAAGCATGTGTAGTACACGCGGTACGGGAATTCTAAAATTCGCTCGGTAACGCCATCATCGCCATATAGGTACCGATACTCAACGATAGAAAACTGTAAAAGTAAAGTTTGGCACCTTGCTCCTTGCGATTTCGCGAGCGCGAAAAAACTCTTCGGACGACATGTTTGTCGATTTCTGAAGATATGCTGTTTCCTTTTGAGTCAATCAAGTTTGTAAAATCATCTAACGTAATTTTTTCCTAAAATTTATTTGTTAAGAAAAATTGATTAGAAAAAGTGTTATTACTTGTGATAAATAAGATAAATATTATGTAATTAGTAAACAAGTTTTTTCTGTTATTTTGAAAACAAGTTCTAATCGAGCTGCATTATTTTATAAAGTTTTAAAATTACTTTTGTTATCTAATTTTATATAGTCCTTTTATCAAGAAAAAGTATAATGCGGTAGAGAAATTAGATCGAGTACATGACCATTTTGAAAGCCATCTGCGGTGATGGTGCTTAGAAGAAAACATTGAAAACAGAGGGATTGACAGATGATCGGCACGTGATCACTTTGTATATGTGTTATGCATCCACGAAATTGCATCCGCAGGCAATGCTGCCCGCGGCTAGCGATGCTGAAATTTAATAGGATACCAATACTTTTACTTTTTGATATCAAATATCACAAGTATCGATATTTTCTACTCATTTATATTTGATATTTCTGCCGTTACGTATTGAGATTATACGATATCGATGTTATTTATGATAGGGAGACTTTTTGTAACAATTAAATTCATAAAGATCGATGCAAGTTAACATCTTTATTCTGCGATTGCCAATATTATTTTTGAACTGATATTCAATTGCAACCGAAGATAAATTGCTGACGGTAAAAACGCGCAATATAGGAAACCAAATATTGATATCACGATATACTGTGTTTTGTAAGCGTTTATCTACATTTTTATTTCGCGCAGCAATTAATTCGGAGAATAGCGCCGATTTATATCCTCGACAGTATCGTTTTCGTGCGAGATGCGATCTCGCGGCGGGTATGGCCTCCGCCAAATCGATAGTTCGCGGATACACATACGGCGAAGCTAGTAGGGCTTGAAGAGCGTACGCCGCGCCAGGTCGAATCAATTTTCGGATACCGAAAGCCTCCATAATAGCTGTTCGAAGATTCCCGCGGTGAAGTCGGGCCCTAACCGAACTTGCGCGAACGGAGATGAAATTCGTGACTGCACGGCTATTACGGATCTGTCTCGCTGACGTGACTATCAATAGATAGATGTTCCGAGGCTCATCTTCTCCCGTGCGTCGTGTGCGCGCGTCGTATTAATAAATACGCCGAGTTGACGGAAAAAATAAGCTCGTCGCGATTAGCGACGCGACGCTTTTAGCGGCGACGTTGCATTAAACTTCGATACCGGGGTATTTCGAGGGCGCATTCTTTTTTTGCTTCACTTTCCGCTTGGAAAGTTCTAATTGCAGTTGTTTGTCTTCCGTACTGGTGTGGAACGCACGGAGTGTTCGGAAATTGTTGGTAGAAAATTTGCAGACATATTTTTTCCGCAATTTAAAGTTTAGTACATATTCTTTGTTGAGTATTAGGTAAAGACATCCAGGCATCTTGTTTCATTTAACTTCTTAGTTTCTATTCTTTTTAATAGCAAAGTTTTACTGACATGAATAGCATTCCATTTTTGCACTAATAACAACCACGTTTTATATTTCTCTGACAAAGTTGCAACCGCAATTTTCTTTGTTTTTCGCATGTACATATTAAGCGAAATATTAGCAATTTGATCAAATTTGCTGTCACTCTGCCAGCATCGCTAACATTTGGCTATCTTGGTATATTGCGATAAGTTACCTTTCATAAATAATTCTTTTATCGTCTCCATCGTTTAATATGAGAAAAGCAACGAAAGCACGCTAAGTTTTCGCGATTCGTATTATCGATAGCGAACGTTTCCACTCGCTGAATCATAACAATCTTAAAGTCTGCCCTTTCCGCGGTAACTAAGCTCCTATTTCCCTAGAAGCTGCAAATTCAATTCTCGCTGTCCGATAATCATAAATACTAGACCCGAGCGTTCGTTATAAAATAGCGAACTCGTTCGATTCTATTGGATAATTATCGTGTAATGCTCGCACCTGGAGGTGATATCAAATTTAATCGACCCTGAAGTACGCAGTGGTACGCTGTAATACTGAAGCTCGTTGCGAACAACCACGATTAATCGCATTAAGACGAATTATACAATATTAATTTCAGCTCTGGACGCAAAATTGAATTCTATTTTTAATAAATTTTTAATAAATATTTTTAATATTTTTATCAGTGGAGAAAATACTTCGTTACTATCAATATGAAAATACAAACCATAAAATGGAATATATTTCCACTGTGTTAATATAATGCTTTAAAGTTGCTTTTAAATATTAAATTTGATTGAATTATTTTATTAAAACATTATTTGTTTTTTGTAACTTTTAATGAATATTAATAAAAAATTCTATATTATCTAAAACGTTTCAAAGCAATTGGTAATATCTGCAAGCAAATAAAGCCGATAAAATATTTTTCATTATTGTATTTGTTCTTGAAAAAAGTCAAACGTACAGTAAATGTTAGAATATGCAATTCATTGCCCGTTAAGAACTTTGCTATTTGCGATTATATTTAGAACTTGTACAAGCTTTTTTTATAAACGTGTATAATGTACACTTTTTCCATTTTTTGAAATAATAAAGGTTATTGTTAGCGATATGCAAGTGCTCGCGAGTATATCCATCGCTTATGATGTCAATGGTCTTTCCTTGTCGGTCTGTATATGAATAACAAAATTACGCTAACATAGCATTTGTTCAGCAAGCACTAACGGAACGCTGTTAACATTGTGTTGTTAGTAAAATGCTGATAGGAGCGCTTATAACTTGAACTTTCAAACCGCCGGTACTGACAATAGCGCCGTTTTGAATAGCGAGTTGTGAACATCGGCCTATCGGCTTTCGTGTGCAATCGGCTGCATTAATAGTGTCCGGTATGCTTATATTGAATGATCAAATTTCTCCGTAACATTTAATAAACATCTTTTTCCATTTACCTAATTACTTTGTAATTATTGTATATTTGCAAGGAACAAACAAATCGGATAAATTACAAATTATAAAATATAAATCAATTAAACGAGTATGACCCGGATATCATTAGCTCTCTAACTATTTTTTTTTCATTATTGTATTATTAAATAATGTAAAGAGAAAAATGAAAATAAGTTAATAAAAGAAAAATTATTACAAAATGAAATAGTATACGAAAAAAACGCGGAATCTACGGTAATAAAAGTGGTAAGAATAAAGCAATTTGCAGTGAAGATTACAGTTTATAGATATCCGTGCTACTTTTACAAATTAATTTTGATCAGTTAGTTAACATTAAGAATTTTATTCTCTTATTTCAATGCTATCCAGGTAAAACGAATGTAACAATCAATTCTTGTTATCTGGCAAATGTTATGAAGATTAAACAAATACAATTTATATATACTAATTATATTCTGCTTGAACTGTTTGGAAAGTTACGTAAACAATGGTTGCAAAGCGTTATATCGAATCCATCCGTAACTCACCTTGACACAGGACCACAAAAAGTTGCATGCATCTGATTGTACGAACACGTACCTGAGTATAGGATTCCTCCTGGTACGGTGTCCTGCGATGGCACTCGTCGTAGCACCTGCCGTCATAGCCGCTGGGCGGCCGTGGATACGGGTCCTGCGCCGCTACCGCGGCCGCGCAGCAGTCCGGGATTTGTGCCTGGTATGTTTCATAGGGACACTTTTCGGATTGGGCCGGTCGCGGGGCCTGGTGCACGCGTTCCTGCGGCCCACCGCCGTAACCGGCACCGGCGCCGCCGCCGCCGCCACCGCCACCACCGCCACCACCGCCGCCGCCGCCGCCGGCGTGATGCATCGTCGTCGTCCACTCTCGCGGACCACCTCTCGCCTGACCTCACCACACCACCACCTTCTCCCCGCGATCACTGCATCCTAATTCCGCGTGGCGCGCGACGCGCGATCGAACCCGCGGCCTCGACGTGCGGCCTTGTGTCTGTCAGCTCTTCGCACGGGTCCATCCTCACGACTCTCCGCCGCCGCCGCCGTCGCCGCCGCCGCCGCCGCCGTACCCTTACTACGGCTCTATGCGAGCGCGCGCCAGGTCTCTCTTAGCCCATCTCCAACATGTACCTGTACCGATTGTCGCATGCGTGAGAAGCGTGTCACTCTCGTTGCGACGCTCGGATGCATCCATTCATCGGATACGAATGCGCACCGAACGTCGCCTACCCGCGCTCGCTCCCGCCGACTCGCGTTCGGCACGCCCGCACCCCACTCGAATTAATGCACCGCACTACGACGGAACGGTGTAACTCCGAACCATCTGTATTCTCTCTTAACTGCCGAAAGAGTAAACTACCGGCACTCTTCTTTACCTACTTCGCGCGCGTATTTACGAGTGAAGAGCTTTTTTGCGTTATTTACTTGGGCTCTTTTAATCTTAGTCCCGTCGGGCGCTTTTTCAGTGTCGCCTCGCAGTGTAAGCTTTTAGATACTCGTACTCGCGGAACGGCGATGCTCGATCAATGTGCCAGGCTTGATCCACCCATTGATCTTGTCTGACCCCTTGTCTGGCAAAGCGGTGTTGCTGTGTAAACTAATGAGTTTGCAAGTAGAAGGATGAAGAATTGATCCTACCGGCAAATGCAATTTTGATATATTAAGAATACTAATGTGCAATGGCATTCGTAAGCTAATTTTAAAACACACGCCCGTCCATTACATCACAGGTAAGAATTACGGGAATACTCCGCGAATATGTATTTAGTCTCGAGTTCCGGCAAGTTCATCTGAATCTTCCATTGAAAATCTGACCATTATTTACGTAAAGGATATTGCTGCTTTAGAAACTACATGGGCTTTTCTAATCTAAACTTGGAGTGTTTATGTAGCTCTGGTTCGAGCTGATGTATCGAGATCCCGTTATAGATTTCGAATGTATCGGTTATACGCGGAAGTTAAGTTGGATGAGGTGTCTATGTATATGGACCGTAATTAGCGTCTCTTAATTTATCGCACAGGAGCCATACAGGCGCGCCCGACTGAAACTTTGATAGAGCGATAGAGTAGCGTATAGGCGCGACCGTGTAAAGGCCTTAACGCGTCTATTTGGGACACACACTAGCGCGCGCGTGTGGGTCTTTGCTGCGGCTTTCGGATATATTAATCTCGAAAGGAGAACCGGATCGATCGTCATATTTTGAGCGACCGTTTCCCTCCCGTTTTTTCGCGTGAATAATTACACATAGCTCAATTAGTATTGGAAACTGATGGTTTAAGATTATGACATGTAATACTGAATGAGGTATAATATTTCGCATGTGAATTAACGTATCACTCTTATTAAGAAAGCGTGGTGAAATGTTTCGTTTATTTGCATGCTCGATACCTACGTGTAATTTGACATGTAAACATTTAAATGAGTAATATACAATTTGTTATGCTAACAAAACGTTATGTTTTCTGTTTTGTAATGTAATCTATTAAGAAACGTAAAACATACAAGATGTGTATTTTAGAGCAAATAACGCGGATGAACACAGTTAAACTCACTAGATACGTTGTTGGGCTTGCAAACTGAAAACAAAAAACGTAACGTTTGCTTCAACTTTGTACAGAAACGAAATATTTCCGTTTCCATTCTGCTTGTTCGCAAATATTTCGTTTTTGGTTCCACGAACTGAGATAAAAAAGTTTAAAAAAAGATTTTAAATTTTTAATGAAATTTAAAGTAAAAAGACGTTAGAAAGTAAATAAATGTTTCTGAAATGTAATAATAATGAAGATAAAATCTCCTGCCGTGAAATATGTAATATTTCAAAGTTAATAAAGTAAAATATTTTTTCTACTTTGCCTTCAAGTGTGCAACAAATATGAAATTATTAGTTAATATAATGTAAATAATAATTAAAGATTTGTAATCCAAAATTATTTATTTTACTTTTATTTTTATAAAGAAATGTGGTTAATAATTTATATTGTTTTAATTTTAGTATCCAATTGAACGCGAGATGGTATCGATATGATGTCAATATTAAACTAATATTTTATTTATTATAGTTATAAATAATAGATTAGTTAGAGAGATATAGATAACATTGTATCGAGCAATTATTCTTTTTTATAATCTTAACTATATAGTCGCTTAGTAGATTCTAATTCGAACTTAATACGCATATTATATACATAAGACGATATATATGTCAGTACTGAATTTAACTCGTGAATCATTCTATTATCATTTTAATCAGATCTTTATTTAAAGTAATCAATAATTGTGATAAATGACTTTATGTTTCAGCTGTGTCATTTTTGAATTACAATTGAAATTTCCATCCATTTGAGAGATTAACTGAGAAATACAATTATTTATTAAACTGTATAATATTGTTATATAAGTAATAGAAAAAAAAATAACAAGAATTATGAGTTGCTCTGTATAATCGATAATGGAAACAAAGAGTTGTAGTTTATATACTTGGATACGTAAAAATATAAAAAAATTATTTGTACAACCATTAAAACGTAATAATTAATATAAAGTACATGTATGATATAATAATTTATATATATTTGAATTTTTTCAGATACAACTAGAAGGCATACTCTGCTAGGATGGAACGATTGGTGAGTGAATTTATTCATTATATTTTGCATGATATACGTTACACAAAGTACAGTATCATTTGCTACCTTTTCATTTGCTACTATTTATTGTATAATTGCTAAGAACCGCGCTTTGACAATCATGTTATTGTTTACAATTTGCATTTTTATAAATAAATAATAAAAATTTTGTAACAGTAAAAAATTTCAATTTTTGCGCAAAATATATATACATTATTTTTAAAATCGCTGTTATAAAATTTTGAAAATATAAATTATATGAATAAATATGTAAAAAAGAAAATTTTATGCAGATATAAATTACAAAAAATTTGATCTATAATCACAATTTTGAAAACATAAATTTTTTTTCGATATTATTTCAATATGTGAATATATCTTTTATTTAACTTTATGAGTGAATTTAATTGTTTAATATTTTTGTAAATGAATTAATTGTGAAAATACGAGGTTTTAATATGTTGATTAACGCAATGAAAAGCTGCAATTATTGATACGGAACTTTTTATAGTTGATATAACTAAAATGCATTGCACTAAATGGTTTTTGCACAGTATATAAAATTCTAAGGACTTTGTAAATGCGATATATTTTGTGAAAACCTTTTGTACACAGTGAAAAGTATCGACACGTTATACCTTTTTTCACTGTAATTTTATTATATTCTTTATAATCTCACGAATAATTGTTATTACTAAATTTATAATACCGTTGCATTGCAAAGCGAGTTTTATCTCTCTTATTTGCGTTTTGGCATCGCGAAATAGTAAAATTGCGACTAGTAAACCCCTGATTTTTGAAAATAATTTTCGTTTTAGTAAACGTTTTATTATTTAAGTGTATAATGCATACACATACATATATAATTACAATTGTAATCAAATTTCAATATTTATCGATTTTATTAAGAAATACTTAACTTAGAATATTCAAAAGTTGAAACAAACGATTTTTCGCGAAATTTTGTTTCGGGAAGCAACTGACTTTAAATTCTTTATCGAATATTTTAGGATAACTTGTGAACAAAATTGCGCCTCACGACAGAGAAATATTATTTCAAATTTCTTTCCGCATAATTCGTAGATAAAATAAATATCGAATAGTGCATCAGAGGGTCAAAATAAACCCACAATTTCAACATACGCGTGCGCAATCTAGCCGTTAGCTCTCCCGGAAACCTGGTTTGATCATGAATTCAGCGAGCGCGCGTGCAGCGACCGCTTTCGCTCATCCTCCAGTAGATTCAGCTCTCTTTTGTTTTACTTTACCTCTCATCTCTGACCGCTTTTCGAGGCGACGGCGGTGCTTTTGGCGTACGAGTTCTTATCCCGGTGTTTCCGCCCCCGCTCGCACGCCGCGAGTTTCGTTCGGCGCACGATAGCGGGGCTTCGTTCATGAAAACCAAAGCTCTTCCGGGCTTTCAATGATCAGCGGAACGGCAACAAGAGTAGAGGGGAAATAGGACGAGATGGTACGGACGAGTTCGTCCAACTACGACTTTCCGCGCGCGCACTGTTTTATTCATCGCCCGTAGTCACGACAGGACTGTCTGACTGAGTTGCAGCCCGGTCGATTCCATGGACATTCGATTAATCGGCCGGAATCTTGTTTTCGTTTCATTATCCTGATGAAATTTCTATCAGGGAGCGATCGCCTTACCAGTTTGACACCTTTCTTTTTCTCGCGTTTTCTATTCTTAGGATATCTCATGATTTTCCCTTTTATTTAAACATGTATTTGATAAATAATGCGACGAAATAGATCAGCATCTTTTCCACTTGAAATTATTAAATATATTTAATAATAATTTTAAAATAGATTTTTTACGATAAAAATATAGACGTAAAAGTGATTAATAATAAAAAAGTTTCAACGAATCAAGCTTCCGGATTGTAAGTAAATCATGTTTTATGGACAACTTTTGAGACTTTAAATTCAATAAAATTTTATATTCAAAACTTAATGTGGAATTTAAAGCATTGCAAGAAAGATAACATCTGATCAAATTTTTTTGAAGTAAAAAATCAACTTGAAATTCTTCGAAGAATCCGTAGACGAAAGTTGTGGCGAAAGTTCCGAGACATTTTGTATATTTACGAAAATCTTAAAGATCGTCGAGATTGTCGATAGAAGAGCTCGTTAGTAATAAAACGACTGCGAGTACGCAAACTTCGGAAAGTTTCAATAGACCGTCGAAATCTTCTCGGGCAGCTTGAAGCTCGATTGGAATGTATTCGCCCTCGTTTTAATATTCCATGCCTGAACGTGACTACGCAGTGACGCTTCGTACGTCTATTTACTATACGGATTTTTATGTGGTTTTCGTGCTGCGGTGCAAGGTGAGAGTCACGCGTTACGCTTTTACAACCGAAGTTTAATAAAATATCCCGAC